GTTTTAAATCGATTAAATTGAAGATTGATTAATCGAGCCCTTCCGACTCGATTTTTTGTAGTTTTTAGTTCCGAGTCGATCCGTGAATCGATCCAAAAAAAATCGAGAATCGACATTCGATTTTCTGTCAATTCATGCATATAACATTGCATTAGAAAGTCTAGAAAATTTTAATAAAATTTCAATTTGCACCTAGTAAAAAAATTGCAGGGGGCTAGTTTATATAACAAAAGATAGCTAAAGCGCAAAGTTTGGAGCAAAATCATATTGAAAAATGGAAGCATTTAAAAGCATGTACGCGAGCGGCAGAGTACTAGTTAATATTAATAATATTTTCAGGAAAAATTTCGAGGATGCAATTTTGTAGCTCATTCAATTTTAGTATAATAAAGTGGCTTCAAAATATCGTAGATTTTTGGAATTTTTTTTTTTGCTGGTAGGCACTTTATTCATATGAAAATTTTGTCGAGCATACTTTGTATAGAAGAAAATCCGCTATAAACCGCCGACTTCACAAAAATGAGAAGGTTATCAATTCATCGGAATATTTTTTTTTACCTCGGATCGTGAAGAAATTAACGATAATCTTAAATTTGTATATAAGGATTGAAGTCGGTTTTGTTTTTGCTTAAAAATTGTTTGTTTAAAATAGCGGTTAATTTTGAAATAAATCCAAATTTTCCAAAATTTTACCATTTTCCTAAGCAGGGCTAAAAATTGATGAAGTGTCTGTTGAATGTTCTTTTAGGTATTAAACTTCATCTCCTCCTTGTGTGAAAAGTCACACAAAAAAAAAATTGTCAACCATTCTTGTAGCTTGTTTTTTAAACGAAGTTCATATATCTTCTTCACAATTCCTATCGAATCAATACACTACGAAAATTGTGAAATTCGATGCAAAAAATTCATTTGTTTGCGAAATATTTTAAAACTAACGTTTCTTACCCTCATATGTGACTTTTCACACATAAGGCTGTTTCTTGTATTTTTCTATAAAAATTCGCTTGTTGTACATAATAATAATAATAATAATAATAATAATAATAATAATAATAATAATAGATTGCCGCTTACACATATATGTAGTGTTTGGCCGAGCTTCTCCTCCGACTTGTGGCGTGCACCTTGATGTTGAACAGCGATTGTATTTTTATAAGAAGCTGTTTTTCATGGCAGAAATGCACTCGGCGGTTTGCAATTGCCTACCGAGTGGCGACCGCTGTTAATAAAAAACCTTTTTACTAAATTTTTTTGCGATTTTGCTTTGACCAGGGCTTGAACCCAGGCGCTGCGGAGTGGAAGCCCCTTTATATACATATACACCCCCATGCTTCAAAAGCAAGCAAACGAACATTTCATAAACACCACTTCAACAGTAGATTTTCCAGAGAACCCAGCTAGCAAAAAAACGTATATTTTACGAACATTATATTTTACGATTGATTCTCGATCGACAAAAAGTTAGAGAAAGGTTCGTAAACGATAAAACAAAAAACAAAAATAATAGAAAGAGGTTTGTACATCGTAATTTGTCACCACAAGAAAAAGTTTTCATTTTGTTGGAAATTTTTCTTGAACCATAATATGTTAGTAGGCGCTCCACAATTTCAAGCGAAAAAGTATTCGAAAACGAATCGTAAATGGCTATCATAAACGACTTTTCATCCGGTTTTTCTTCGAGAAAATATCCAGTTACAAGCTCGTTTACGATGATTTTGCTGGCTGGGAAGAGACGTACTCGTACATACATTCATGTACATATTTACATATCTGTGTAATGTACCTATTCGAACAACTCATCGCCAGCCTACAACGACTAATTAGCATATTAAGCCGTAATTAGTTGTACTATGTAATTAATTTGATGTTGTTGCTGACGGCATTGGCGGTTGGTGCGGCCATGACAGTGGCAGTGGCAATGGCAATTAAACTGTTGGTAGGCAATTGTTGATTTGTTATTGTTACGAGTGTTGTGTATGCACATTTATGCATTGGTTTGTAATTAAAATGCGCCACACACACATTCATCCATACATACATATATTCTAGCAGTAAATCTGGGTTCGACAGCTTTGATTGCCACAAGCTTTAGCAGCAAACCTATCAGGTAGCTTGAAAAGCAGTTACAGCAAAGATATGAACATCGAAGCAGCTTAATATTGCCTACTTTAGCTGCAGCAAACAACGGTTTTTTTATCGTTCAGATTAATTTCATTTTATTTGTTGCAGCGGATTTTGATGCAACACGGTTGTTGCATGTTGCTATCCGCGCAGCAAAATTACAAAACTCAATTTATGCTTGTGTTGGTGCGCAAGCGAGTAGTTGGGTGTATGTGTGTGTGTGTGTGTAAACTGCGCGGCATTTACATTTTGTTAATTTGCAATTGTTACAGACGGTCTCAGCTCAGCTCATGCAACAGCGGCAGTGACAGCAGAAGAGGAGGCGGCAACATGCAAACGCTGTAGAGAGATGTTGCTGTGTTTTAATTTGTTACTGATGCGTCCTCTAAACGTGTATATTCAAGCGAGCTAGCCTGTATACGTAAGCATATAAGTACCACAAGTATTTGGCTTGCAACTTTTGCACGTTCTTCACTAAAGTCTTTTGTTTCATTTGCTGCCTACTGCTAATTGCTGCATAAATGCTACACCAACAACAGCAAGCACTACACACATATCTAAATGCATTTGCGTGCATTGCAAATCGGCTTGAGTTCATTCATTACATTGCCTTCTTTCTTCGTTTCATGCTATTTTTAATTGTACATATATAAATACTATACATATATATATACAAACATATGTCGTAATTATGTACATATATGCAACTGCCGCTCCTCGTTTTCAGCTGCAACGCCTTCTTAACTCCGTTTTGGTTTAATGAGCAAAAATTCAACTAATACTTCCCATATACCAAACGAAAGGAAATACAATTTCGCAACAATTTGTTGCCTTAAAACACTCAGTTTTTAGTAAATTTATATAAANTACTTGAATTTTTGACTAAAAAAACTAAATCAAAATCATTCCAGCGGTTTTCAAACATTTTCCAAATAAAAAAAATTTTTGCAAATTTTGCAACAATTTGTTGCCTTAAAACACTCAGTTTTTAGTAAATTTATATAAAATTTGTACACAATAGTATTTCTATTACTCTAAAAAACTTATATTCCGAAAATCAAAGTTATGTCTGCAAAAGCTAAGTTGCTAAAGCACTTTAAAGGCTCAAAATTGATCCCAAACTGATCACTTATAAAAATAATAGATACGCGTTTTTGTGAAGCTCTTCAAATTACAGCCACAACATTTGAACAAGGCATCCATACCGAATCGTAAGGCCGAGGCCACGCAATGAGCGGCTGAGCGGTGAGCGGCTTAAAATTGGAATATATGAAATACTACTGAAGTGGCCACGCAATGAGCGGCATTTCTGTATACCGTCCACCGCTCAGCTCGTTGCGTGGCCTCGGCCTAAGACGTATTCTGCGACTAAACAGAAAACACGGCTACATGTGTGTATGAAAATAAAGATACAATTGCGAAAAATGTATGTACATTAGGGCGGGTCAATTTGTATGGCATATTTTTTTTACTATAGGCGTAGAGGATTCTACGTGTACTTCTACGCGAATTTGCCGAAGAAACCATGGGTCTAAAATCAATTTGGAGCTTGCCAAATTGCGAAAATAAGTTTCCCTTACTAAGCAATTTGCTGTAGTTTCGTAAAGAAGCGCTTTAATTTTTTATAAAAACATGGTATAGGAGGTTTCTGGTGTGAGTAATTTATTTCTAGGCTTATCTTATTTCTTAAACATCCGTCAGAGGGCGCAAAAGTGAAAATTTTCACATTTTATTATTTATTTTTTTTTTCATACAACTAAAATTCAGTACAGAATACATATGTACATATGTAGTATGTATAAGAAATTAAAATTTCTTAAACATTTCCATTTCAAATCGAATTTTTACTAAATTAATTAGAGTCACTGACAAAATTTAGTATCCGGTGATTTTTTTGAAATATTCATCTGTGGACTGTCTGTAGATAATGAGTGAAAATATATACCTATGTACATACATATGTAAGCATTTGGTATTGAACTTTAGTTGTAAGAAAAAAATTCAAGAAGTAAAATATACAAATACAAATACCAAAAAACCCCTTATAGCATGTTTTTATACCTAATTTAGGCACTTATTTACAACACTACAGTAAATTGATAAGTAAAATATACCTAGTTTCGCAATCTGGCAAACTCCAAATTGATTTTAGCGCCATAGTTTCTTGCATTGCACGTAAAATCCTTCTATGACCCGCCCTAATGTACATAAATGCGTAAATACATATGTATATCGTATTCAATGCAGTATATTCTCTTAAATACAAATATTTAAATATGCAACAATAAGAGTTTTCCATTGAACATTTTTTTAAACTTTATATGTTTTTCCATTTATCTAACCATTTTTTACACTTAGCAACAAAAAATGCAGAAAAAGTAAGCAAAATTATTAATAAAAAGATTATTGTTTAGCACAACTCTTAAAAACTGAGAAAAAGAATTTATTTCTTTTTATTAAAAAAGAAATTAGTACCGCAGCCGGTAGGATTCGAACCTACGCTCCCAGAGGGAATCTGATTTCGAGTCAGACGCCTTAACCACTCGGCCACGACTGCTTCGAAGTAAAAGCCGCCAAAGTGCACACACGATGCCGTCCCATTATTTCCTATGTAGCGGATAGGATTTTTGTAAATAAGTACGTGCATATTGTATGTACATATGTACATACATACTTATCTGTACCTACATACTAGATACGAATAATCTAAAGAATGCAAACAAATGTTAACAACAAACTTTAAAAGTTTACTTTACCAAGAAAAAATAATAACAAATGATAATAAGTAACAACAAAAATATTGTGTACCCATAGATAAGATGCAAAAATGCGGCAATGCCGCTTATGAAAGGGAAATTACGATTTCTTTGTCAATGGTATGGACAAACAGCAAAACAGTCAATTCAGTTAAGTTCAGTGTCGAAGCGCGTATTTTATAGTTAACAGTGATTTTCGAGTCGTAATAAAGGTAGAAAATAAGGAACTTGAGAAGCTTTAAAGCGAATGTTTTTACTGAAACATTTTAAGCTAGTTTTAAATGAAAAGCTAATGTGTTTTTATTAATTTGGCTACAGTGAAGACGTGACGTAATTTTGTCTGAAATCTTGTGTAATTTCTTCTGAGAAGCGGATATGCTTGTGTGGCTTCTAACTCTAACTTAAAAGTTTAAACGCATCTCCTGAAAAAGCATTTTTCTAAGTTAACATATCTTCGGCTCTGTTTGCCGTAATTCCACACTCCAAAGAAATGAACAGAGATAAGAGATAGGAGATTAAAAATTAAGATTAGAATTGAGAATCAAATTAGGATTAAGATGTACTTAGATGTAGATTTAGACGAACATAACTATAAAACTGAAGATTAAAGTTGCAAATAGATTGAAAGCAAAGCTGAGGATGGAGATGAAGTTTTAGCTGAAGGCGAATTGCATGCAACTGACAACATACACAACATCTTCATCTCCGGTTTTGCTCGCACTTTGCTAACTTTCGCAAAAAAATAATTTGTTTACCACGGCAACGTTTTTCGCCTTCAGATACTGTAAACATACTGTTGTGATACTGTTAAGCATATGAAATTATAGCATGTTGAATTTTCATACATCTTCCCATAAAAAGTTTAACAGATGCAGAGATACCAAGGGGGGTTTTTCCCATTTTGATGCCTTTTTAATATAAAAACCCACCGAAAAGGAGGAAAGCGGCAACTCCACCATTCACATACATGTCAAAAGTATGAATTTTAAAAATTAAAAACAATAAACAAACAAATTCAAAACAAAGAAATTCTTTGTACTAGAACTTTTTAAATTGAAGCCACTCACGTTTAGTGGACAATAAAAATACGAAGAACTATGATAACAAACCAACAACAAGACATTACAGAACATTTTAATGAGCTTTATATCACGTTTAAGTAAAAATAAGCCTATATTTTCCAAGCTGGCAAAGAAATGAAAATGTGTATTTTTTGTTGTTTACACAAAGACTTGCCAAATATACATATAAGTCAAAATTATAGAAGGCATGTATACTTCTCCCTTTCATTTTTTCATACAGTTTATGCTTCTTTCTGGCTTTTACAAAAATGCAGGGATACCGCACTTATTTCGGTACAATATGATCGTAATGTATTTTCAATTCGAAATCAAACAAAAACATCCCACGAAAATGTTTGCGATTTTAGAACCATTAGTGAATATTTGCAAACTACTGCAAATAATAGAGTGCCATATCTTACAAAGTTCAGAGTATTAACGAAACAAACAAGCATTTTATGGCTTCATGTTTCCTTCAAACCGCATTGCTATTTTTTCTAACTTTTCCTTTTGTTTAGCGCTGTAACCTATTAAGTTATATCTTTTAATTTATACATGTGAACTATTTTCAATGAGCATTTTTTCATTTGCTCCAGAATTTTGGGTACATTTTCTTATAGTACCTCTCATTCTTTTTTATATTACATATATACACTCCGAAGTTCGGGATAGTATTTTGAATATACCAGCAATATATGTAAAAGTAGTGTCGGCTGCTGTAGAGCATTACGCAGAGCCTGAGTTCAAGCCCAGTTTTTCTAATAGTGGTTTCCCCTCTGTTGGTAATAGTAAACCTCCGAGTGTATTCTGTCATGGAAACAACTTCTCATTAAAATACAATTGCCGTTCGGAGTCGGCGTAAAACTGTCCTTTACTTTGTGTGACAAAATCACGCACGCCGCATATCGGAGGAGAAGCTAGGCCAAACACTAACATATTGTTCAAGCGATATACATATTCGTCGTTTAAAGTACAAAAGCGCGTATCGTGGTTCTGCAAAACCTCGGAACTGAAATTTGTGCCAAAAAAGATATTTGGTCATCGGAAGCTCCTGACATCAAGCCCTTAGCCATTTATAATAAAATATCGATATAATAAAATATCGACTTAGACATAAGGAGAGAAGATTATTAAGTTTAAAAGAGAGAACCGTTTTAAATTGGGACCAGTTTCACTCTCTCCTATAAAATTTAGGCAACCTCCTATACGAGGTTTTGCATTTCCTTGATGCGCGGTTTTGTGCTTTAAACGAAGATATGTAGAAGTATTGCATACATATTTTGGTGCCTTTTCAAGTATAAAATCCACTGAGAAACGGAAGAAAACGGCATCCCTATAATTTCAAGTTATGCCAAACGTTTCGTAAACAAGCAATTCTGAACAAAAAACTGTTTTTCCACAAAGATGTTTAAATGGAAGCATTACAAATATGGAAAAATAGCAATCCACAAGGCTTTATTGGCAGTAGGTCCTTTTTAAAGCACATTTAACAAAAAAATAAGCTTCTAGTTTCGAAGCTAACACAAAATAAAATGCTTTTATTTGTTGTTTACAAAAAAAAATATTGTCTAGTATACAAGTCAAAATTGTTAAATATATATCGCTTTCATTCATTTCTTCATAGAGTTGGTGCTTCTTTTATAGGAAAATTCATACGGCTTATGAACAGATTCATACCATGTAAATGCACCATAAGATTTAAAAATTAAAAAAATAAATAAAAAATTTAACATTTTAAATTGAAAAAGTTAACTGCACTTCTGTATCCAAAGAAAAATAAAAAAATGTCGCTTACGTTATACATATGTATATGATCTCAATATATTTTGTCTTGTAAATAAAATCGCAGATATTAACCTAGCCAGCAAAAAACCCGAAAAAGTATCCAAAAACGAAAAAAAAGTTGATGAAATGCGGATTTTTGTCCGTTTACCCATTCCATTGTCGAATACTTTGACGATCCATTTTTCCACTAACACCGCAGAAACATACATATGTACAGACAGGAACCGAAAATTGTTTTGAAACAGATACGTTTTTGACTTTTTTTTTTGAAATTGGTCTTATTGAAATTTTCGATCAATACGATTTCTTCTGCACTTCACAGATGCTTTTTCATGGTTCGAAAAAAAGTATCAGTAAACGTAGAATACGTGGTAATATTAAGATTGAGTTTTAAACCCATTTCAAGTTCTACCCATCTTTTACTAGGGGTCTTCTCAGGCGAAGCTTTTTTATTTAAATTTTATAGAGACTTACGTTGGTGGCATGAAGCTTTTGCCTGAAAAGACCCCTAGTATATATTTCCGAAGAATCATTTTCTAGAATATGTCAATACTCTAACAACCTTTCAAATTGCACGAAAATATTTTCCATGAAATTTTACTACATATGTCTTAACCTTTAATTTCGCTCAGACATTTATTTTAACCATTTTTACTTAGGCCGGGACATAAAAACTTTAGTAGGCCATAAATAAAAAAAATACGAGCCAACTTTTGCAAATCCATCGAGTGTTTTAATATTGGATGGGTATACTTTCAGAAAATATGAGCAAAGTCCGGACTGGTTTCGGCTGTCGCACAGTGTTATATGTGATGTTTTATACAATTAGATGCATACATACGAGTATATTATGTAACGCTAGATAAGTATCTAAATTTAAAAGGACTATTTAGACTAAGTACATACGCACAGAAAAACCGAAAAATTATATCTAAAATAAAACTTGAGTCAGGTCATGTCAAGGAAATCAACAAAATCTTAAGGAATAAAGTGAATAAATAACATATTTATATAAGTATATGTATGTATATTTAGTCAACGATTATATTAAGTTTACATACATGTGTACATCTGCTTACGAATACCAACTTACTGACTCATAAATTACGTATGAAATAATGTTTGATGTTAAATGGGTAATATGTATGCTTCGACTTTCTACAGAGCAGATAAATACGTGTCTGATGCGCACCTTTTCCCATATACATATACATACATACATACAAACATAAAGTTAGATACATATAGGTATGCGTAAATATGTATATTTTTGTTGAAAATCGTATTTTACTTGTTTTTTCCCGCAATCACCCACGCATTTAACCACCCATGCACCCATTTGAGCTACTGGCGGCTACCCGACGCATTTTGGATCGATAAAATTCGTCTACGTAAGGTTTATATTTACTATGTTCAGTATGTAGTGGCGAAAAGAATATATACATATATATTTATATATGCATTTAGTAGGATTTGTTGCTGTAGAAACATTTGTTTTGAATGTGTATAAGAGGCTACAGAGCATTTAGCAGCGTACATACATATATACACTGGCGGCAGATATAATAGACTCGTCGTACTTTGAAGAGTTTTGGCTATATTTCTTTAGTTTATTTTATGTTTAATATTTTTTATAAAAGCCCAGGTAGTTATACAACAAGCACCATTAAAATCGGATTTTCAAACTTTGAACAAAAATTATAAAAATTCGAAAAATTTCCACTTTTTGTTCAGAATTTTTAGAAAAATACAATGCTGACGATACTAGACATTCTCTTCCATATAAAAAAAATTGTCGAGCGCTCTTTGTATGGGAAAGTAGTATAAGTTCGGGCGAAACTGATCTTTATATACCCGGCGTAGGTATCAAATATCGTCGCTTCAACTTCCTCTAAACTACCTTTGCATGATGGGCTAGGGGGGTTTTTCAAATTTTTTCGATAATTTGCTGAATTAGAGTTAATAAAATAATTAAACCAAGTTTGGTAGAAATCCCTAATGTGGTTACCGAGATATACCTTGTAGTCATAAAGTGGGCGGTGCCACGCCCAATTCCTAAAAGTCTATAGCAGTTTTATTTATTAATAAGAGATTATTGTAACTATGAACTTGGAGCGTGCTCAATTATTGAAATATCGGAGTTTTCGGATGTCTGAAATTCACCGTTATACAGGAAGTGGGTGTAATTTTATTCCGATTTGAATAATTTTCAACGAATTTATTCCTTGTACTAAGGTTATTAAGTGCACCGAGTTTGGTAGAAATTGATGAATCAGTTACCGAGATACACATTTGTAGTCATAAGGGGCGGCGCCACGCCCATTATCCAAAAATATATAATAATCTAATTTTGTACAAAGTGGTTA